CCCCCCCCCCCCACGGGGTTTACATTGATAGGTGCAAAAGGAGTCAGACGAGAGTAACCAAGCCTTTGGGTCTAGTCTCCCACGTTACCGTGTTTTGTCTCGCCAGCCAACGGAGGCTGGACGTTACGTGACGAGACAAAAAAGGGATGCCTCGGAGACTCCTTTATGCGAGGCCACGACGCCCGAGGCCCAGTCTTCATAGTACAGTAAACACCCGCTAATAATAACCTGTGGTTTAAGAACCAGTTGGCAGGAATTGGGCACTTTAATACCGAAAAAATATAAGAACTTGTTCAACCAAGCCAAATCAAGCTGGTTCTTATATGTGGGTTACAGGTAATACATGGTTCAATTTGACCTGTTACCATCCCCCCAGGCAACCCCAGGGACAAGTCCAGCCCTTCGGCCCCGGGGTGGGGAATTGTCTCTTTCTACGTGCCAGGGGTTGGGGAATAGACCACCAAAAAAGAAAAAAAAATTGCAAATCCTTGGGGGTATATCCGGGCGAAGCATGGTTACAGGTCAAATTGAACTATGCATAAATTAAGATAAAATTTTCACCCGAGTTTGACTTCGAGATTGACAATCAAGAAGATACAGCATCAAACTGTAATTACAAATAGAAGTATTGCTGTAATTCCTGCAACGAAAGGTCCACGATACTGGTGCCAAGAATGTGATTAATGAAAATATTTCGAACAGACGCACCTTAACGCTGTATCATTTGAATCAAGAGCCTATTTATCAGCTCCTGATTCACTTAACGCTACACGAGGAAGACTTCCTAGTAATAGGTATGTGACATATGGATATGGGGGGAGGGGGGGGGGTCCCATGTCGCCCGTCTAAATGTTAAAACGTCTCGTGGTTGTGTTTATAAATGCTTGTCGCTTATTGTCGGCTTTGCCGTGACTGTCGCAATTTGGCCGAAGCAGGTTGTCTCTTGTCGCGATTTTATTTTACACGCTGTCGCTACATTTTGGGCCATGTCGCTTGTCGGAATTTGCCCTGGCAAGGTCTCTTGGACTAAAAGTCGCTGCCACCCTGTATAAAAACTTTCTCCCCCGGGTGCCATTGCAGACGCAGATTAGACAGTGAAAATGACATCCTTTACTTTGAATCATTTTGCTTTGCTTATTCAATTTTCACTCGAGAAGATGCATGGGCTTTCGATGCTCGCGTTATTTCAAGTTCGAACGGACAAGTTTGTCCCTGAATATGATACACTCACTCACTCACTCACTTGGTCGCCCGAAGGCGGGCAACAACTAGATCTTTCCACAGCCTCTTATCAGCCATCAGTGCAGCAATCTCACTTGCTTCGAATGCCCCAGTAGTAAACAAAAGCGATTTCGAATCACGTTAAATCAATTTGCATGACGTGTCTTACCGTCGTTTACCTTTCATTGTATCTATCCACAAATTAGTCGTTCAACGCTATTTTGGACATGGATGATGGACAAATTTTATCTTTCAGATTTTTTGAACTCGAATCTGACGTGTAGTGATAACTTGATAACAACATTTTATAATGGAAACTTTATTTGTGTTTTTGAATGTACAATTGTAAATCTCGCTACGTATAGGCAATTTACAAATGCTGCTTGAGATTGGATTATTAAAAAGAAAAAACAAACCAAAAACAAAAACAAAAAAAACAAATCAAAAAACAAAACAAAAAACAAAAACAAAAACAAAAGCAAAAAAGAAAAAAAAATCAAAATTGCATTAAGTCTGGGCTATCCTAGCCTGAATTTCATCTATCCCAGTTCCTATTTCTACAACAAAAGATGTAATATGTTGCTCTAATGGCTATATTTATCATTTTCTTGATTATAATTTTCACCAGTTATTATTGAGGGATTCAGAAAACCATTAACATCTGCATAGAGTGAAGAGCGAACATTAATTACAGGTTGAAGTGACTTGGCAATGAATAATAATAATAATAATAATAATAATAATAATAATAATAATAATAATAATAATAATAATAATAATAATGATAATGACAATTACTTTTATCACACAGGGTAATAATAAAATTTATAGAGTGCTTATCCGTTTAAGCACCAGGCGCATAAATTTCTCTATTGTCTATTTACTACAAACAAAGTTTCAACAACAAATCTTGTAAAAACTGAACACTGTGTTTTTTATTGTAACAAATACTTTTAGTATACATTTTATAAATCCGCGGTTGCATATATCTTGCTACAACCTCTTTACAATTCTTAAGCTACAGTATTGGCACAACATTACTGTACTGCAGTGTTAACATATTAGTCAACAATGATAAATAAATATTAACTTAAAATAGAATAGTAGATTTTTTGAGTTACCTTATTATCACTTCTACCACTAAGAGTGATATTGAAATTTTTTTTGAGGTACAATTATATTTTTTCAGTTCCAAGCAACTCAAAGAAAAATGAATTGCTTTATGGTCAAGTCATCTCACAGTATTTTTGTTATTTGCAGAATAAGAGCAGCAAAATTATTGTTTGCTTAAAACTCACCCCTACAACAACGAAACTGGCAGCAGGATACAAAGAAAGTCAGTTGTACAGCTTTCCTTTTGGGCAAGCTGAAGCTAGCACGTACTAGCCAAACTGTCATCTTGACTTGCCCCCTAAAATAATATTTTTTGATTTTAATAGCATGATTGATTAAAGTTCTTCTGTAATAATTATTTAAATTCCCCCCAAAACTTCACTGGCCTGTCGGGCAAGTTAAGAACAGAATTCACTAGCCTGATAGCAAAATCCAATAGCCCCGGGCTATTGGACACGACTTTCTTTGCACGCCGTAGCAGTAAAGCAGATTTATGGCATATTTATCAAAAGATTCTACACTGTATGAGAACTTGTGTTTATCTGATTGCAGCTTCTTATTATTACATCTTTCAGTAAAAAAAGTTACCACACCCAACCCAGAAATAATATAATAAATCCTCATTTAGGTGCAACTATTTTTAGAGGGAATATTCACTGTCTTATTTTCTTTGATTCAACATGAACACTAATTACAACTGTGCTATTGTTTATATTAATTCAGAGTTCTACTTTAATCAATCTTATGTACATTGTACATAACAGAGGAGATGCACTGAATGGAGTCTTTACTAATTTAATGTAAATAATTTGATCCCTTTCTCTTCCTGTGTTCATAGCTAGCAAAAATCAACGTCTATGAAAAATCCCACATTTAAAATATAATTATTGTCAATTAACTTTTTCTTTTTCATTTTTTTTTTTGGGGGGGGGCGGGAGGGAGGGGATGGGATAACAAAAGACCACAGTCTGTCGCAGAAGGGAATCATCAACCACCGTTAGATGGCTGTTTCAAAAAATTTTCCCACATGTGTCCCCGAACAACTGCCTCCTATCACAGGGAACTTAAAGAGGC